GGCCCCTCCCCCACCCTCCGTGCACCGGGGCCCCCCCCACTATCCCGGGGCCCCCCCCAAAAAAACCCCCCGACCCCTGTTTGGCACCTTAACGGCATCGCAGCGACATTCCAGCGCCTGTGACCCCCCCGGGGGGGGCCTGGGGGGTGGGAGTGTGCAAGGGGGGGGGCTCTGTGCAATGGTGAGTGTGCAAGGGGTGTCCCTGTGCAATGGTGAGTGTGCAAGGACTGTCCTTGTGCAGCTGTGAGTGTGCAAGGGGGGGTCCTCGTGCAGTCATGAGTGTGCAAGGGGGTCCCTGTGCGATGGTGAGTGTGCAAGGGGGGGGCTCTGTGCAATGGTGAGTGTGCAAGGACTGTCCTTGTGCGACTGTGAGTGTGCAAGGGGGGGGTTCCTTGTGCGGTTCTGAGTGTGTCAGGACTGTCCCTGTGCGATCCTGAGTGTGCAAGGGGGGGTCCTCGTGCAGTCATGAGTGTGCAAGGAGGGTCCCTGTGCAATGGTGAATGTGCAAGGAGGGACCCCGTGCAATGGTGAGTGTGCAAGGACTGTCCCCGTGCAATTGTGAGTGTGCAAGGACTGTCCCTGTGCGATGGTGAGTGTGCAAGGGGTGTCCCTGGTGTGCAAAGGGAACAGTTGTGCAATGGTGAGTGTGCAAGGAGGGGGGGGTGTCCCCTGTGTGAGTGTGAGTGTGCAAGGACTGTCCTTGTGCAACTGTGAGTGTGCAAGGGGTGTCCTCGTGCGACAATGAGTGTGCAGGGGGGGAGTCCCTCGTGCGAGTGTGCAATGGTGAGTGTGCAAGGGGCTCCCTCGTGCAACTGTGAGTGTGCAAGGGGCACCCCTGTGCAATGCTGAGTGTGCAAGGGGCCCCCCCGTGCAATGCTGAGTGTGCAAAGGCCGCCCTCAGGCACCCCCCCCCTTGCACACCCACCCCCCTCCCCCCAGAGCCTTGCACGAGCGTGCATGGCCAGTGTCACACCCACCCCCTCCCCCACATCCACCCCCCCAAAGGTCCTCGTGCAAGGCCCCTCCCCCCACACCCAGCCCCTCCCCCCATCCCCGTGCAAGGCTGTCCCACACTCGAGCACTCCCACCCTTGCACACCCACGGAGTGGGCGAGGGGCCTTTTTGGGGGGGGGGGGTTCTTTGCACAAGGGGCCTCCTTGCACGAGGGTCTTCCTTGCACGAGGGTCATCCTTGCACGAGGGTCTCCCTGGCACGAGGGTCTCCCTGGCACGAGGGTCATCCTTGCACGAGGATCTCCCTTGCATGAGGGTCTTCCTTGCACGAGGGTCTTCCTTCCAGGAGGGTCTTCCTGGCACGAGGGCCGGGCTGGTGCACGAGGACGTTCCTTGCACGAGGCTCCTCGTGCAAGGGACCCTCCTTGTGCAAGAGCCCACCCCTGTGTGGGCCTGGGCCTCGTGCCAGGACTGTCCTTGTTCCGGGACCCTCCTCGTGCGAGGGTCACCCTTGTGCAAGGACTGTCCCCATGGGAGGACCGTCCTCGTGCAAGGACACCCCTCGTGCAAGGGACCCTCCTTGTGCCAGGACCATCTTTGTGCAAGGACCATCCTCGTGCAAGGACTGTCCTTGAGTGAGCCTGGGCCTCGTGCAAGGGACACTCCTTGTGCAAGGACCTTCCTCGTGCAAGGACCCTCCTCGTGCCAGGACCACCCTTGTGCAAGGGCCCTCCTCGTGCAAGGGTCATCCTCGTGCCAGGACCACCCTTGTGCAAGGACCCTCCTTGTGCAAGGACACTCCTTGTGCAAGGACACTCCTCTTCTGAGCCTGGGCCTCGTGCAAGGACCATCCTCGTGCCAGGGCCACCCTCGTGCAAGGGTCATCCTCGTGCCAGGACCACCCTCATGCAAGGGTGACCCTTGTGCAAGGACCACCCTCGTGCAAGGACCATCCTTGTGCCAGGGACACTCCTCGTGCCAGGACTGTCCTCGTGCCAGGACCACCCTCGTGCAAGGACACTCCTTGTGCAAGAACTACCCTCATGCAAGGACCATCCTTGTGCCAGGGACACTCCTCGTGCCAGAACTGTCCTTGTGCAAGGATTGTCCTCGTGCCAGGATTGTCCTTGTGTAAGGGTTGTCCTTGTGCCAGGACTGTCCTTGTGTAAGGATTGTCCCCGTGCAAGGATTGTCCTCGTGCCAGGACTGTCCTCGTGCAAGGGCCACCCTCGTGCAAGGATTGTCCTCGTGCCAGGATTGTCCTCGTGCAAGGATTGTCCTCGTGCCAGGACTGTCCTCGTGCAAGGGCCACCCTCGTGCAAGGATTGTCCTCGTGCCAGGACTGTCCTCGTGCCAGGACTGTCCTCGTGCAAGGGCCACCCTCATACGGGACCCCCCTCACCCCCAGGACCCTCCTCACCCACCCCCACCCTCGTGCAAGGCCCCTCCCCCCCTCGCACCGGGACAATCCTCGTGCAAGC